TAGTAAGAAACTGTTTTATTAAGGTTGCTTGCATCTGTAAAAAAGAAGAACCTGAAGAGGTGTGGCAATTGTCCAATGTGGTGGCACAGCTGGACTTGCCATTGTAGGATTTTGCCTCCTTCTGTCTGCAGATTCCCAAGTTCAAGAGAAAATATTATTGCAATAACCTGGAAATTATATCATGATAGGTTTAAATAAAGTTCATCCTAGAGAACAAAAATTCTGGTGGAGAGCTACTGGACCATTTGTCTTCTAGTAAAGGCAATTTTGGGTCTGGCTATATCAGCTCTGTGTGAAAGCCAGTTTGGTATAGTTCTGAAGACATCAAACTAGAAGCCAGATTAGGCACAAAGCCAGATGGGTGATCTAGAATTAGTCACTTTCTCAGAGTCCTAGGAAGGAGAAAGTAGGAAATCACTCCTGAGAAACCTTGCCAAGAAACTGCAGGCAATATCCAGGCAATCTCCAAAAATCAGACATAATTGAACGAAAGAAAAAAAAATCAGTTCTAGCAGCTATTTTGTGAGATTGACCATACTATCCCTTGAAAATTTGTTAAGTCCACTCACTTTACAGAAAATGTGGAGTCCTGCATTAAGTATTTTTCCAGGCTTAAATGTAATGTAATCCTTGAAATTTAAAAGGCTGGAATTCATATCCTGATCTACTGTATATAAGCTTTGAGCATCCTGGATATGGATTATGAAAACTGGCACATCTGGAAGACACCAGTTGGGAAAGTTATTTTAAAAACTAATTTAGCCTAGAAGTATTGCTAGATCATAGAAGTAAATAAAATTTATGGATAGGTTGCTCCCTAGTGGAGCTATTGTGTAAATGTTGCCAGAAAAAAATAGTATTGGACACCCAATTAGTAATATTTCCATTCCAATCTTTACATATCTGTTAATATATTGACAAGGAAATCTAGACCATAATGGCCCAAGAAATATCCAGGAAGATGAGAATGGCAAGGGCTTCCAAGAAATCTGTTGTTTTCTTCACAAAGATGGAAATGGTTTGCCACTGACTAATTCTGGATGTTTGACTTCCCAGCAAAGCTTACAGCTCTGAAAATTTCCTGATACTCTCCAGGCCAAGTATGAATCTGATTTAATCCACTGTAGCCTTTTTTGAGACTATGGTCACAAGATTCTGCCATTGGTTGTGACTGATTCTGGTTTATAGTTTAATATGCAGATAGAATGGGTACAAAATTTGATTAGAATTTCCCTGGAAGCAGGGATGGGCCTCAGTCTTATTTTTAAAAGCAAAAAAAGCAAGGTTTTGTGTGTATGACCCCCTGTGCAAGTTCCCAGCCGGCATTGTCCTTGATGCTTAAAAGATTATGCATGCCTTTTTCTTCCTTAAAAAGGCAGGGTTTATAATCATAGTTGTCAAGGATGGAAAGGGAAAATACTACAAAAAAAGGGGGAGTTATAGTTAAATAACTAAATTTATAGTTTGCCCCATGATAGGACTTTTAAATCAATCCAAATTCTGTGTTATTCTCAAAATACCAAGAAGTAGCTTTTATTTTAAAGTATGTTTGATATACTGTTGCCTACCTCCAACTATTGAGAATTGAAGAAGTCTATGTGTGTGTATACATTGTTTCTGAAAATCCCGTATTACTCTTGATATGTATATTGACTTAATTGCCTATGCAACTGATTTCCACCTTGATTATGTCTTGCTGAGCAAAATCATTAACTGCAGGAATTGTATATTGTGAATCATACTCCTAAAAAAGGAGAAGACTGAGCAGATTGGCGCCATTGAGATTATCTTCTCTGACTTGAGCACAAGATGTAGAAAGTAGTGGGTGGAATTTTAATAGGCATTTGATGTTAAGTACATTTTGCAGCATTCCAGACCAGGGTGGGGGCTTTGCATAAAAGAACTCTATTGCCATGCCAACAAAGGGGAAAAAACAAATAAACTAGGTGAATTACAGAACCATGATGCAACAAAAAAAAGGCCAAATGTTCCTCATTTGTATTTAATATACCTATTATCTGATATATGTAAAGAAATTTTATGCCCCCTTGGTTTCATTTGTTGCTCTCCTAGATACATCCATGTTGAAAATAAATTCTACTGACTAAAGACATATCTAAGAAACACATCCCTACTAATTAATATGTATTTCCTATCCAAGAAAAATAACCAGCATAGAAGGAAACTACACTGCTCAAAAAAAAAGGGAACACAAAAATAAGGCATCCTAGATCTGAATGAATGAAATATTCTTATTAAAAACTTTGTTCATGACATAGTTGAATGTGCTGACAACAAAATCCCACAAAAATTATCAGTGGAAATCAGATTTAGCAACCCATGGAGGTCTGGATTTGGAGTTACACTCAAAATTAAAGTGGAAAATAACACTAGAGGCTGATCCAACTTTGATGTAATGTCCTTAAAACAAGTCAAAGTGAGGCTCAGTAATGTGTGGCCTCCATGTCCCTGTATGACCTCCCTACAACGCCTGGGCATGCTCCTGATGAGGTGGCAGAGGGTCTCCTGTGGGATCTCCTCCCACACCTGGACTAAAGCATCCCCCAACTCCTGGACAGTCTGTGGTACAATGTGGCATTGGTGAATGGAGCGAGACATGATGTCCCAGATGTGCTCAATTGGATTCTGGTCTGGAGAATGGGCGGGCCAGTCCATAGCATCAATGTCTTCGTCTTGCAGGAACTGCTGACACACTCCAGCCACATGAGGTCTAGCATTGTCTTGCATTAGGAGGAACCCAGGGGCAACTGCACCAGCATATGGTCTCACAAGGGGTCTGAGGATCTCATCTTGGTACCTAATGGCAGTCAGGCTACCTCTGGCGAGCACATGGAAGGCTGTGCGGCCTCCACCCCACACCATTACTGTCCCACTGCAAAACCGGTCATGCTGGAGGATGCTGCAGGCAGAACTTTCTCCATGGCGTCTACAGACCCTGTCGCATCTGTCACATGTGCTCAGTGTGAACCTTTCATCTGTGAAGAGCACAGGGCACCAGTGGCGAATTTGCCAATCTTGGTGTTCTCTGGCAAATGCCAAATGTCCTGTACGGTGTTGGGCTGAAAGCACAACCCCCACCTGTGGACGTCGGGCCCTCATACCACCCTCATGGAGTCTGTTTCTGACTGAGCAGCCTCATGCACATTTGTGGCCTGCTGGAGGTCATTTTGCAGGGCTCTGGCAGTGCTCCTCCTGTCCCTCCTTGCACAAAGGCGGAGGTAGCGGTCCTGATGCTGGGTTGTTGCCCTCCTACGGCCTCCTCCACGTCTCCTGATGTACTGGCCTGTCTCCTGGTAGCGCCTCTATGCTCTGGACACAACGCTGACAGACACAGCAAACCTTCTTGCCACAGCTCACATTGATGTGCCATCCTGGATGAGCTGCACTACCTGAGCCACTTGTGTGGGTTGTAGACTCCGTCTCATGCTACTACTAGAGTGAAAGCACTGCCAGCATTCAAAAGTGACCAAACCATCAGCCAGAAAGCATAGGAACTGAGAAGTGGTCTGTGGTCACCACCTGCAGAACCACTCCTTTATTGGAGATGTCTTGCTAACTGCCTATGCTTTCCATCTGTTGTCTATTCCATTTGCACAACAGCATGTGAAATTGATTGTCAATCAGTGTTTCTACCTAAGTGGACAGTTTGATTTCACAGAAGTGTGACTGACTTGGAGTTACATTGTGTTGTTTAAGTGTTCCCTTTATTTTTGAGCAGTGTATTTATATTGTAGGGGGAAAGCTTAGATTAATCACAAAATGGAGCAAAAATGAATGGTTGTGATCTTAACCCAGTAGTGTTAAGATAGGTATCATATTAACATTTAAAATATTGTTCTGTAATAAAGACTGATAAGCCCTAGAATAGTTGACCATTGATAAAGCCCTTAAAAACAATGTTTTAAATGGTGACCTTTCTCAGTATCATTAAATATCATCAGCACTAAATCTGTAGTCCTAATTTCTTTTAAAAACCATTGTCTTTATAATGCCAATTAATGGATGTATTTATGTATTTTCCTGAATTACTGATTTTAGGCACAGCTGTCAGTGAAATGTTTACATACTATTAGTTAACACAAACCACTTGACTTTTAAACTATACTATAGCATATAACACTCCGCAGAAAAATAAAACCCTTTATTGATAGTACGAACATTTAACATGTTTAATGCTGCCATCTATAAAAATGATAAAAAGACTTCTGTTTCATACATTTGACTTTACAAATATACAGATGTTAATGAACAATTAATACTAGGTTATACAGTTTTAACTTCATTAAAATCTAATTAGTCCATGACACTTCTCAATACACAATCAAGAGAATATTAAACATTTCAATTCCATATTTTAACTATACAGAAAACTGAAATATTAACCCTCAAAATCTTAGAGGATTAGCTGGAATAATTTTCATAGTTGTGCTTAATCTCAGGATATTAGCTATTAGCAACAAAATACATTTCCTTCTACACTGTCCCCAATATTTCTGTGGACTATAGTACTCAGTGCATTTCCTAATGAAATTCATTGCTGTGTATAAATCTCTATAGTGTCATGTTATAAAGAAAGGATACAAGTTAGTAAACATATAGAAATATTTTAAGAGCTGCTACAATAACCTCTTTTAAGGTAAGACACAATTCCATCAAAACACTTACTTGAGTTCAGTTTTATAGCCTTCCCCATAATGGTTGCATTATAAAACTGAATTGTTTATGTGCTTATCAGGGTTGTTTCCTATGCATCAATATCCAAACACGTAGAGAAAAAATTATATAGACCATAATATATGAAGGATAGCATTAGGTTTGTATGATTTCCTGTATCAATATATTGTGGAATATAATGCAACCTCAGAAATATTTGACACTGTTAAAATACAATAATCTAGAAATCCCATTTTAAAAAAAGGTGGTGGTGGGGGAACAATGTCTATATCCTATATAGCGGCATCCTGAAGTAATGCTTTAAAAAAAAAATTGCAATGAAGAACTTTGGTCTGATGCAGGAATGGGCAATTTTGTGGTGGCAAATGGATGTGTGGCACTTATAATTGATGGAATGAGGCTAAGTTTTTTGGCTTATTTTTGTTTTTAAAAGGCAAAATATATGAGACAATGACTGGAAAAGAAGTATGCACCAATTTCAGCCCTTATTTGTTTTAAAAGCACTGAAAAAACCAGCACCATCTAAACCCAGATATTTGCTCCTAAATTTCACAATACCACCCACAACTCAACAGTTTCCCAAACCAGATCACTGAATGTCAAAGCAGCAAGTTGCAATAGTTTCAAAAGATTATGTTGTGATTCTTATTATTAGCGCACACTGAGTTTGTTGAGGCATTCACATATTTTTCCTAAGGTCAAATTAAAGACACCTAGTTTATCATTAACCTTGATCTGAATTATCCCAGTAATGAAATACTCCTGAAACGATTTCAAACATGAACAGCTATATAAGTATATTGGCCCCACTGACATGATCAAGGCATAAACGTTTGCCCTAAAGTTTGCATTACTGAAGATTTATTACAAAGAAAACTGCTTGTTGAGTCTTATATTGGTCCCAGTTTATTATTTTTCTTAGGAAAATGGGTTTTCTCAAATACATAAAGCCCTAAAAGTAATTGTACAAGTGATCTGAGGTATAAATAATGTCAATGTGATCACTGTTAAGATTAAAAATGTTGTGTCTAGTTATGTATACAGCTCTCTATACAAACTGCATCTTTGAAAGCTTAAGAATTTGGTTTTCATATTGCTGCGAAATGAGCAATTCTCTAAGACAATAAAACTTATCTAGCGAGACCTATGCCTGCTGGAATTACAATGATATTAAGCAATTCTTTACTTATTGCTTTGGATCTTTTAGTACTGATCCCACCTTTTTTATATATAAACATCTGAAAATCCTGATTAGTCATTTCTGATTTCAAGTAGTATTTAATTTTTTTCTCAAGGAACAGCAAAGGCCCTACTCTCAGAAGTTCTACACACAACAGTAGAATGCTTATTAAAGTTTTACTTATTTTGCTCTATGGAGAGAAACTTGTAAGGAATGGACAATATTTTGTAAAGACTGGTAACTTGGTTGCTTAAAGCCAACAACTCTTTTCAAAGTTTGTATCATAGGAAAAACATGAGTTGCATACAATTTAGCAACAAGGCCAAAGTGCATCTGACAACAGCTACATTATTATTATTTTGTTCATAACAGAGAAAACCAGTTTAATGTTCACCTTTGGGACATTTCATAACACATTACCAATAAATATATTGGAAAGGGTTAAGAACCATATTGATTTCAAACATTCATGATTCAGAAATTGTTATTTTCCACAGTTGGATAATGCCTACTGGTATCACAGAGAATCACATTCATATCTGCAGGCTTTAGCTCAGGCACTTCTTAGAAAAGGAATAGAAGTTTGCATGGAGTGTTTTTCTGCATAATTTAAAAATGAGTATTCTGTTGTCATAGTCCATAGGTCAGCTCCCAGAACAGAACAACTGCTTCTCTTTTTGTTTGATTTCCCTGCTGCCATGAGATGCCTTGAGGCTCTGAACGTTCAAAAAATTGTACAAGTTGTATTATTTTCTACACTGTATAAAACAAAGAAACAAATGTGTAATACAAGAAGATTGTTAGTACATAAATAAATAACATGGAGTGAATAAGACTGAGTTTGAACTCTAGGAATTGCAAACACCTGGAATGTTACTCTTTTTAAGACTAGCTATTGGTTGGCAGTAAAATCTCAATATCTTTCCCATTGGCTACAACAGCGTTGCTTGAACAACTAGTTGCCATGTCCATAGGAGAACCCAGAGATGCCTGATTTGAAGTTTTCACTGGTGGCGTGGCCGTTACTGGAGAAGGAGCCAGACCAGGTTTCTTTGGAGGAATTGGTGGAGGATTTCCTCTTTCTGCTCTGGGTATAGTGGGTGATTTAATTCCAGGTGAAAGGGGACTTAAAGGACCACAGACCTTACCTGGGCTAGTTTCACTTTTGGGGCTCATAGCATTGGCGAGATTTCGGTAGTCTGTGCCAAAAGGTGAACTGTTAGGGGAGACTGGTTTGATAGGCCCCTGTTGATTGGTGAATCTGGAGAGAACCTGAGTGACTGTATTGCGGGCAAGCTGTTTTGCTGCAGAATTATCAGCAAAAGTAGGTGACAAATCTCTGGATGGTGGACTTTGGAGACCACTTGATTGATGATCTTGATCTGCCTGAGATTGGAATTTGTGACGAGCAGCATGGAAGCGCTGATTGATTCCCACTTGGTAGGAAGATTGGTAGCTTGGGTTGCTGGTTGATGTTCCCAGTAGACGCTTAGTCATGACTGGGGAGGAGCATGGTGAAGATGTCAGAGAAGAAGCAGCAGTATTGCTGGGAGACAAGGAAATTCCATTGGAAGGGAGTGGTGGCACTGAAGTAGAAAGAGACTCTGTTCTTACTGGGGAGATGCTACTTTCTGCAGTATTCTCAGCAGCTGGCCCAACAGACTTGCCCTTGTGTAGATTCTCTACTGCAGGTTGAGAAGCCTCAACATCTGTTAGTGTATCAGCGTCACAATGTCCGTTTGCCTTGGCATAGGGATGGAGAGCTGCGGCCAGTGGTAACGTGTGTGCCAATTTGACTGAAGACTCTTGGTTCATGTTTTCTGTCAAGTGATCACTAGTCTGAGAAGCCACTGACCTACCTAAGGAGGTTTCTGTAACAGTTGCTGTGGACACCATTGAGACATATGGGGAAGTGCTCTCAACTTTGTTGCTGCCAGTTTTCAAAGAAGTTTCTACTTGTTGTAATGTTTTTCTCAGATCCTCTATTTCTTCTTTTAGGACTTTAGTGCGGTTTTCTTCCCGGTTAAGTTTGGCTTTCAACTGCTCTCGTTCAATGTCAAACTCAGATAGCTGTTTTTCAACTTGTGCTTCCATTTGCAAGCCTCTTTTCTTCTTGGCTGCTAGCTCCTCCTCTAACTGGTTTACTTTGCTTCTTTCCTTTTCCAACTTCATATTTAACTCTCCAAGCTTTTGCCCTTCTTCTGTAGCTTTAGTTGTGGCCTTCTTACATTCCAACACAAGCATAGAAGAAAGTTGCTTGTGGTGTGCACGCTCCTCCTCCAGTTGGCTAGCCAACTTTTTTTGTTCCCTCTCGAACTTCTTCACCTGAGATTTTTCAAATTCCAACTAAAACAAAAGTATATTTTTAAAAATGTTAAAAGCTTAACATCCAAACTAAGAAAAATAAATAAGAGTAAATAATGGACATAAACAATTTTCAGAGGAAAAAAATGGAGTTTTTAATATTTGTATTTGAATTCAAATAAGTAAAAAGTTATAGAGTAAACAGAACAATAATAAATTATGAAGTAAATACAACATGGAGTATCTAATTTTCTGCTTGAGGGAGAAAGGAAAAACCCAAGACTATAGAGACCAATATAAGTTCCCCCACCCATAGAAGGCATGTTCTCTTGTGTTAAACATTAATTAATCATTCCCCTCTGACTGCTACTTGGGAAGAAGACATACCTGTTGTGTGAGCCGTTCTCGTTCTTTTTCCAGCATATAAGTGACATCATCGCCTTCAGCAGTATCTTGGGCGTGTCGTTGCCTTTCTTCTTCAAGATCCAGAATTACCTTTCAAACCAAAATGAACATTATCAATCCCATTTAGAAAAGTAATTACTACTGCATCCAAGTGTAAAGAAAGAAGATTTCTATCCGTCCAAAGCAAAATTTAAAGCAAACTCATCAGGTACAGATACTCCTTAACTTTTGCTGATGAACAGATCTTTTTGAAAGAATCCAGGGCAATGGTAAAACAGACATCTACCACTCCCAGCATACCTTTTAATATTCTTCAAACTTATCTTTATTATTTAATTATACTGATAATCTTTGACTTGCAACCGTAATTGAACCCAGAACTATATTTGTAAACTATTCTGGTCATTATGAGTAGATTCATTTTTATGACATGTTTGCATTAGTCAACCCCACAGTCATTAAATGAATACATTTCACTCAATGGACATTCTTTGCTGGAAATTAGAAGTAAATGCTGGAAACTGGCAAAAAAAAAACCAACACTGAAAATCATGCAATATTGGAGAATGCTGCAAATGGCTGTAAGGGTTATCAAACACTCATAATGTGACCATGTGATGTTTGTATAGGTGTATGTGGCTGTTGTAACTTCAAATCCTGCAGTTTCCCTGGTCATTGCACTTCTTAGGGCTGAAAGAAAATGACTGCTCCAAGGTCACCCAACCGGCTTTGTACTCAAGGGGAGAATAGAACTCACGGGTCTCCTAGTTTCTAGCCTGATGCCTTTAGCCACTACATTAAACTGGCCCTGGGATGTAATTTGAAAGCAAAAGAACAATTAAACAGCTATTTGCATGATGACCCATCTAAACAGCTTTTACATTCTATAGTATATTAAAGAAAAATAAAATTCTATTTCTTGAAGTTTTAATTTCTTTTAATTAGACTATAATAAAGAGGACTGTTTGTAGCTTTACACTTACATTCAAACTTACATAACAGGATAACAAAATTGAAACTGAAATACCACTTTTAGAAAAATACAAATATAAATACAATGCAATAAATTGTACCAAAGTAACTTTTCTACAACAAAGTTTCAACAATGGTGAAACAAAGGTATCACTATGACCTATAAGTAACTATAAACTTATGAACAATATATACCAAAGATTCAAACACCAGGCAACTGAATAGATGCAAAATATACAGCTAGTTGTAATTATACAAATTTAAAATCACAGTATTTTTAATTTACTGTTTGATACATTTCAATTTTAATATTTTTGTTTTGTGTTTAAAAATGTGTTGAGGTTATTTACAAAAATGATCAGAGTATGTATGCATGTATGTATATATGTATGTATGTATTTAATTTTTTAACCATCTAACTCATTAATTAGTCAAAGCAATTCTTATATAACATTATATAATAGTGCATATTTAATAATTAAAAGTAGGTAACTATACAATACTGTAGTGTTCTGTGAATTCCTAAATAAGAATAGTTGTTACTTTTCATCAAGCTTCCAAGGAGATGGAAACCCACCTTTCTGTGTCTACTCTCTGCAGCAGCCAGTTGAGACAACATTTTTTCCTGCATATTCTTGCAATGTTTCATTACTACCTTCAAGATGGATAAAGGATTGGCACAAACAGGTTGCTTTTCACCATAATTTTCATCCTTCAGTGCTTCAAAATCTCTCTGAAGAGCCATCAACGGATCACTGATGTTGTATTTTCCATAACGTTCTTCAATAAAAGCATCTCTATGTTGGGCCTGAAATTATGAAAAGTTAAGTGACAAGTTAAAATCTTGTCACTTCACTGAAATAGAACATATGAAAGACTAAACAGATAAGCAAATACTAATGCAGCTTCTGCCGCGAGTATCAGAAAAGTTAATTCTTTTAATTTTTAATTTGAGAAATTGGGAAGAGCCTCAACTTAACAAATGCTTTAAAAACATTAAAGTATGTGTAGACGGGGATTAAATGGTGCAAAAGGGAGGAAAAGGAAAAAGTCAAGATAAAAAAAAACATTAAACAGAGAAACACTACGAAAAAGCAGAACCTAAACATGTAATGGTAATGGAAGGCACTGGAAAGGTGCAGTAAGAAAGGAAAGAATAGGAATATGGGCAGGCATAGGAAAGGAAGCAAAATCTAGTCAGTCAGTCAGTCAGTCAGTCAGTCTCTCTCTCTCTCTCTCTCTTGAATTCATATTGTCACCTATTCACCCATGGCGACTCAAGGGGGCCTACAGAATATAAAACCACATTTAAAACAATAAAAACTAACAAAAAGAATGAAATAAATTAATATAGTACAATATAACAAAATCACTCCCTCACCTCCCACCCCCTGCCCTGGCAACAGCAGATCACACGAGCCATTTAATAGGCACCATCCTGCTCTGGGTTCCCCAGGCCTGCTGGTAGAACCAGGTCTTCAGCACCTTCTGGAACAGTAATAGAGTGGGGGACATTCTAATCTCTGGGGGAATGATGTTCCAGAGAGACAGAGCCACCACGGAAAAGGCCCTTCTTCTGGGTCCCACCAGGTGTATCTATCTCCCTTGGGGATGGGACATGCAGCATTCCCTGCCTCCCCACTCTGATGGACTGGGCAAGAGATGGTCCCAGATAATCTGGTCCCAAGCCATGAAGGGTTTAAAGAGGACAACCAGCACCTTGAATTGCACCTGGAAGCAAATCGGCAGCCAATGCAGCTCCTGCAGGAGAGGTGATACATATGCTCACCGGGGTCTGCACAAAATCCTGCAGGCTGCTGCATTTTGCACCAACGGGAGCTTCCAGATGCTCTTCAAGGGCAGGCCCATGTACAGCGCATTGCAATAGTCAAGATGGGAAGTGACCAAGCTCTGCAGAATCCCACAAAGCAGTGGGCAAAGGCTACATCTCTCCCCACCAATCAACACTGACTGAGATATATAACCATGAACTTGTATGCATTTCCACTATTTGTCAATTATACAAAATAAAGCATGCTTTTTTACTTTTCTGAATGGAACGATCAGATATAACCAGATAGGGAAAGGGATCTGAAGCCAGAATATATTTCATCTGCAGTGAAATTCCTGGGACTGGTGGTATATTTCCAGTAGACTATGATACATTTAGGGACATATCGCAATTGAACAAATAGTATATGGTAGAATTAATATCTTGCTTCCAATTGCAAAGCATACCCATAGTCTGAAAAGTATTTTTCTTTCACTATGATCTCGAGAATCTTCACTGCAGCTTTCACTTTGTGTCCTCACTTTTCCCAACAGGAAACCATATTCAGGAAAGGAAAGTTCAAGTTCAAAATGCACAGCTCTGAGATATTTTAAGGGCCATTAAACAAGCAATTCCAAGATCAACATAGAAGAAACTCCACAGAAAAACTCATGGAGCCTTCCTAATCCAGAGGCCTATTTATGGGGATTGAGGAATACATCATTAGAAAATATATCTTTCAATCTGCTTCTATTTTCCATTGTCCCCCAGATTGGTTTACAGATACTTAATACACAAATACAAGGGTACATACCTGTGCATCATGAGAACATATACACACACATACATGTCCAAATAAAAATACAATATAATAAAACAAATGGATTACATAAAATAACCCTAGAATTTGCTTTAATCTAATATTTATTGATTGAATTTACATTGCTGCCTATTCACCCATGGCAACTCAAGGCGGTTTACAGATTATACAAATTAGACAAGTATTTTCTTGACTGTAATACTGAAGAACACTTCTAGGAAGTGAATCAGTTCACTCAGGAAATGGATCAGTTATTCTGAATATAAAATTAAAGTAAATTATTTTTTAACACAGTAATTTACTAGCTTTTTGAACCTGAAAGTACAGGGTTAAGTTTGTTACTTCTATTCTATGGTAATTTTAAGAGGAAAAAACTGCATGTATCTGACAAGCAAAGCATCTGACAATTTGATGAATAGTCACAAAATTTTCTCTGCAGGGTCTCTTCTGCACCCTGTTATTTACAAATACTCATGAATAATTAATGGCTTATTACTTGGGGCTTATTCATTCTTAGGAATGTCAGGAAGCAGTTACCTGGATAGGTGATATAATGTAAGTAAGGAAAAACAGGAAGAAGGGAGAACTTTTGTACAGGAATGGACATAAATTTCTAGTTGACTGAAATAGCATATGAACAACAGAACTAGCTAACTCTTGAACAATATATGAGGATGAAAATGAATGAGCTTTGGAAGAATGAGATAAAGAATTTTACCTTTTTAAAAAACCCTTGTTTTTTCTTAAAAAAAAAAAGGATAGCAATAGCTTAGTAATATCCTTTCAGTTCCCTAAACTGGAGCAAATTTTAAAGGAATACAGGGACTGCTAGAGAAGATAATCCTGCGGTTACAAAATTTACCACTGTGAATTAAATTCCTTCCCATAAGTTATGAAATACTTTTGGATATTTAAAGTGTGCATGTATATGTATGTGTTAACCCACAAAGAATTGGTATCAAAAAAACTAAAAAACCCTCTGGTTATTTGGTTAGAAAACTGTACTAAATAATATACCCCAGCCCAGGAAATGCTACAACATTGGTGATGATTTTGGTACCTTGAGTATTTGTTATCCATACTGCTGAGAAGATTGCTCTGACACCTCTTTGTAACATTTTAATACAATACAACAACATATTAATACAATGCAATAACACTACCTTAAATGGTGGTGAGAACATAATAATATCAAAGTATGATAAACTCAATCTGGCTAGTAATATCCATTAACAGCTCAGTGAAATTACAGAAATTACCTTTAAAACAAAGGACATCAAGACATATCTGACAGCTTAAAATCCCCCTCCTTCCCCTTCATTCCAAATTCAACATAGGTATCAGATATTATTAATTTATTTCTTTTGTCTAAGCCACTGACATTGTCGAAGATCAGGCATTCTTCAAAAATTGTACTGTATATTGAACATAGTACATTTCAAATAGTTTTCCTTTTGGCATTAGAATGATATTCACTCTACAGTGTTTTTGCTGAGCAGTAACTGTGAAGTGCTACTGAAACTGCAAGCGCCTAGACATTTTTTGCTTTGTGAATCTATTTTGGAAATTTTCACCATAGTCCTACAAAGGCTCTACATATAAGCTAAACAAGAGTCAATTTATCAGTGGAATCACATGTTTTGAATTACAGACAACTCTTTCCCATTCTAGGATGAGAACACTGACTCTCATTCAGAATTACTCAGTACTGAATAAGCCAATTTATGAATGGCTACTGAAAAAAAAACTCTCTGTATTTGTAGAGGAAAAATACCCCAGGAAATTGAAAAAGTGAAATGTGCTTGTTCGATTTCAATCCACACAAATATTAAAATGAAAAAGCAGATATGAATTATACTTCAGTAATTTAATCCCAATCTGGATACTGATATTCTTGATGTACTATGTCTTCATTTTTGTGAATCTTGCAGGAATATTAATCCTACAAAGAATTTCTCTGATTATTTTAATAAAAGCAGAATAATGTTAATGTTTATTTTGTCAAAACCTGTTCCTTAGTAGCTGAAGAACAATGTTGATCCAATAGTAGTAGTTTCCACTCAGTTGAGGTTATAATGTTTCAATGCACCTGATTTGATCAGGCTTACCTATATTATTTTGTTACAATATCTGGCAGCATCCCAAAAGTTTTATCAAATCAAAGCAGATTAGGACTTGGCTGGGAGATCACTGGCAAATTTCAGGGCTGAAAGCTAGACTGAAAGTTTGAAAAAAAATCCAGTTAGAAAGAATAGTACCACTTAGGTACTGCTATCAAGTTGTTTCAAGAAAACATAGGCATGTCCATTTTCTCATCGGGAATGAAGCTTGATTTGAGATGCTCTTTATTCTAAATGACATAGAGTAAAAGCTACAAATTCATAAAGAAATTCATAAAGAACAGTCATGTAAGTACACTCATTGTGAATTTATGAAACTGCTAACTAAAAAAATTCACAGTTCTAGTCACAAAGAAGATATTAAAAAAAACAACTGCAATTTATAATTTTGACATATACACAGTGGTGGTATTCAGCCAGTTCACACTGGCTCGGGAGAACCTATAGCAACAATTTGGCCTGGGCACGCCCCAAACCTGGTCACCTGGTTGCCCAGCCCTGGCTCGCTCGCCCCTTCTGGCTGTTCGATGCTCGCTCCCCTTTTCCGGCTGCTCGATGCTCCACCCCACCCCGCCCTATATATGTTGCCTTCGCCACGTGGCCTAGCTAATTGTCTCACCAATTGCCTTGCCCGGTTACCTCAGCTCACCAAAGGGAAGCAATGCATGCCGCCCGCTCAACCTTTGCCTTGGGTCAAGGGCCGGGCCCCCAGGGACGCACTATTCCCCCACGTTCTGGAGGCTCCGCCCACCTTGACCACATTTATTATTATATTACTAGATTATTATTATTATTATTATTATTATTATTATTATTATTATTATTATTATTGTTGTTGTTATTGTTGTTGTTGTTGTTGTTGTATATATGTAGGTAAATATATATCAATATAACAGCGAATTTATTGGATACCCCAATCAGCCAAATTGAGAACGCCCAAGAGGCCAAAGTATTAATCACAGGCCTTCAACAGCTTCCTTGCACAGGCGGACACTGGCTTAGGTGCTCGCTGTTGTGCCACTGGTTAGGGAGAACTGTGAGGGTTAAGCCAACAACAAGAATAACAGATGGCCTTGAATATAGTTTAAAATGAGGTT